CACACACACTCTCACACACACTCTCACACACACACACACTTACACTTGTTATATAAAACAAGTATGAATCATGACAAATTAACCAAATCTAAAGATAACCATCTACTTTTATATTATATATTACATTATATTATGTTGTTTATTATTTATATTTATATTATATATTTATATATTTATTATAATATTTATTATGTTAATTATAATTACATTTAATTTTAACTATATAAAATAAACATTTCTATTTTATAATTTAGCTACATTTTACACTATATTTTATATATTATTTCATGTTTTATGTTATATAATAATTTTATTTAGATTGCCGTTTTATTTTATTTATTTTTTATTACATAATATTTCATAATTATTAATTATAATAATTATTAGTATTTAATATTTAATTGTTTATAAAAAGTAATTTTATTCATTTTACTTTTAAAGTATACTCTATATTTTTATATTATTTTTATTTATCATATGTTCTTATATTTATTATTTATGTTCTTTATATATATATATATATATAATGTATATAAACAGTATTATAAACAAATTAATTCATTTTTATATCTCAGAGTCTGCGGATGGCTGACCGAGGGAAACTGCACACGGATAGCACACGCTGATGAATGGCTCACAGTAAGAACAGGAGCAGCTGATCTGATTCGAGAGGGACAGACAGACTGACCCGTAGCCCGTGAAAGCGTGGGTTGTTGTAGAAGAGCTTCATCTGTTCGGGCGGCAGGGGCCCCAGGATCTTCTGGATGGTGAAGAGCTGGTCGATCTCACTCTCGCCCGGAAACAGAGGCTGACCGTCGCTCAGCTCGCCCAGAATACACCCCACCGACCACATGTCCACCGCCTTCCCGTACGGAGCCCTGACAGAGACACTGATTATCAGTCGAGACTCGTGAACAAACACCACAGACAGTCAGCGAATCAGTGAAACCTGCCAAGAGCATGATCAGGGCACACTTATAGTATATACATATTATGTGAGGTTATGTTTATTGATTATATTAATTAAACAATGAAATAATTCATAATCGAAATTAAACAAAATTAAATAATGTTGAAATTTTTTTAAATTGAAAAATTATAGAATATA